ATAAAGGAACGGTCACGTTGGGATGGTGACTTTATTTGATACATTGTCTGGAAAAAGATGGTATTCTTCTCTGGAGATGGGAAACTGCAGATGGGAAAGTGACGACCTGGCAAACAGTTATACAGAGAAAGTTACGGGAAGTTGTGCTGCGTCAATCCAATGATAGTTTAACAGGAGGACATCTCGGAATTAAGAAAAAATTGAATCACCTACAAAAAAGATTTTACTGGATAGGAATGAGGCAAGATGTGGAAGAATGGTGCAGGACATGCAGTACATGTTGTGTTAAAAGGGGACCCAAGCGTAAGATACGTGCTACAATGAAGTTATATCAAGTTGGCGCACAAATGGAAAGAGTAGCTGTTGAAATTGCTGGTCCTTTGCCTCAAACTTGTGCTGGAAACAAATACATTTGTGTGGTGATGGATTATTTCACCAAGTGGCCTGAGGCATATGCAATACCAAATCAGGAAGCTACAACTGTAGCTTTGGCTATTAGTGATTTCTTCTTGAGGTTTGATATACCATACGAACAGCATGCAGATCAAGGCCGTAACTTTGAATCAGCTGTGTTCCATGAATGCTGCAAGTTGCTTGGCGTACAAAAGACCAGGACAACGCCACTTCACCCACAGTCTGATGGGATGGTAGAAAAGTACAACTGGACACTGGGACAGGAAAAGTTTTGTAATAGCCACCAAGATGACTGGGATATCTTACTCCCTCCACTGTTGATGGCCTATAGGACAGCAGAGCATGAAACCACTGGATACACTCCAACAAAGTTGATGTTCGGTCGGGAACTTCGGTTGCCAGTGGATATGTTAACAGAACGTCCACCTTACGAAAAGTTGCCTGAAGTTTTTGGAGTTCGTGAAAGTGTTATCGGAAAGGATGGATGATATCCACCATCAAGTGCGTTCAAACTTGAAAACGTCTGCTGATTCGATGAAGCTATGTTATGATAAGAGATCTACTGAAGTCAGCTTTGTACCAGGAGACAAGGTGTGGTTGTATAATCCCAAGAAGACCAAAGGGAAGTCTCCTAAGGTGTCTTCTCCATGGGAAGGCCCATATGACATAGTGGATCGTCTCTCAGATGTGACTTTCTGGATAAGATATGGTCGTTGAGGTAAGCCAAAGGTGATGCATGTCAACAGGCTCTGGCATTATCACGGTCCAGGACATTTCATTTGGAAGAAAGTGAAAAATAGAAAAAAATGATGCTGATGAAGATTTGTCACCTGAAAAAGCCACTGTCGAAGAAGAAACTTTACCCGGTTTTGAGAAGGGAAACAGTGAAGCCCTTAATGAAGTTACTACCACTGATGTGACTGTTACCGATAATAGGGCAATTCCAGATGGTGCAGATGAACCACAAGTGAAGCATAAGCCAATGAGACATAGACCAGTACGGAATAAGATACGTCCTGTAAAATTAAAA